TTTGTCTTATGGTCCCTAGCTAAGCAAAAATATCAGTAAGAATATTATTTTTTTGGGGGTTTTTTTCAATTTTTTTTTTGTTTTTCATGCCTCAGCACCCTGGGCATCCTGCTCGGGACCCGGGTCCGGGGGAGGAGGACCCCCCTCCGTCTGCGACTCCAACTGATCCACCACCACCTGCAGCTCATACCCTTGGTCCGGCTCCCCCGGTCCCGGGTCCCTCATCCTCGCCTCTCTCCGCTTGTAGAGACAAGACGGGCAATTGAGTGCCTTCGAGATGGCGACTATGAGGGCGAGGAAGCTGAGCAGGATGCCCAGGAGGCTGGTGATAACCGGGAGGAGAATATACGACTGCATTTGCTAATTCTTGATATTAAAAACTAAACTAAACGTATATCGAAATAAAATAATATAGGTTCAGTGGGAAGAAGAAAGAAAAAGAGAAAAAGAGAAAGAAGACAAAGTCCTATAGTATTATACTACAACCTAGTGCTGCAATGGCCTCCCAATCTACAATGGAAGGTGCGTCTAGAATGGAAAGAGCCAACACCATCCCACGACCTCTCCAAATGACGCTTGCTTCTGATCTACATCTATAGCTTCGAAGGCTCGAAAGCCAGTTTCTCAGACTTCCCAGCCCATGTGCACACCGCCCTGACTGATCTCTTGAGCGAGTCACACCTGATCTACACTCGAGTCTATCCTCGATACAAATCTCGCGGCGAGCTACGCACGGCCGTTGAGAATTTCAGTGAATGGTAGGTGAATACCTTTGACAGGAGGACAAAGCACAGAGTGGCAGTACGCCGACAAAACACTCCAGCTAATTACTCCCTATCTTCCAGGTTGTCACCACACGTAGCTGATGAGCTCGACGTGATCCTACTGGGCCATAGCCTCGGGGGCATTCTCGCAGCCGATGTTGCGCTTCTACCCAGCCCTTTCCCCTCACAATCATCACATCGCATTCTCGGGCTGGTCAACTTTGACGTTCCATTCCTAGGGCTTCATCCACATGTGATTCCGACAGGGCTTCGCGGGCTGTGGCAGCCTAAACAACCAGACACAGCGGCAGCCGAAACTGGCCAGCAAGATGCTACCCTGAGCGATATCGATCTATGTGCCGCAACGGCCGCCGCATCAGCGGGGCCGCGATTTGACCCGCCATTCGCCAATGACGTGCATCTTGTGGAGCGAGATCGTATCGATGGCATGCTTCACTTCGTCCACAAAAACCATCACGATCTGCCACGGTCGATCTACAAGCGCTTGGTGTCCCCATATCGATTCGCTGGCTGCTTGAACAACTATAGGCAATTGCGTCGACGGTATCGCCAGCTGATGGCGTTGGAAATGGAGGAGAGCCCGCGTCGAGTTCGCTGGATCAATTATTACACCCAGAGCACAGCAACCACCAGAACAAGCCCCCGGGGAAGTTTGAAACACAAGGATCACGCACAGACTGAGCCGGCTGAAACAAATTCAAAGACAGCCGTGATGCAGACGTGGAGTATACTCTCGGAAGAGCAATCGTTGGTAGTGCCCGCAGACAATCTGGAACTCAACACATCTTCCTCCAGTCTGGCAGAATCGGAGGATCATGATGACGTGGAGGATGGAAGGGTGCCCTCGACGAAGGAAATTAGTATGGCTGCCTCCGACGACTCACCCAACATTACTCTAGAAAATACTCACATTCAACGTAACAACGTTACCCCGGCTAGGAAGGAGAGATGTAGCGGCAAGCCACGCAAATTCGTACTTTTGCCGTCACACCATTGGAAGCACGGAGACGATTCACTCTGGATCCCGGTGCCGATGGAGCATATGGATGAAGTAACGGCACACCAGTCAATGTTTTTATCTAACAGCGGGCAATATGATCGGCTGGTTGGTGAAGTTGTATCGCAGGTTCAAAGTTGGATCCAGGATGATCTTAGTGAGAGGGCAGTTGCAGACCGGAAACCTGGATGCTGAATGAGACCAACAGCAGGGGGTCATCCTTCTCCTTGGACATCGCCAATGGATTACGGACGCGCCTTATAAAGCAAATTGAACATTGGGATTAGTTAATGGCTAAGAACCGAGTAATCCAAGTCGTGCCCCACTGAGGAGTATCTTCGCACGCGGATCTATCTAAGAGAAACTCCTTCGATGATATAAAACTACAACTAACACGAAAGATATTGCAGTGTGAGATCAGAACCTTTGCTTGAAGAACAGGAAGGAGCCATAAGAAGACGCTGGGTCTCACCGCTTCCATCGATAACCCAAGGCGGCGCGGGGCCGATCAACACCTTCTAGAGTACCGAGTACCTAACAGTACTCGACTTCCACCTGCGAGAGCAGCAAACCTCTTTTTGACCAGGCTTTTCTCCCACCTCGGATTTCTTGCGAGCGAAGTGCTCCGAGATATGGAGGTAAATGTATTCACCTACTCCAAATTCAACCTCGAGGCTCTGTGCCGTCGAGCAAGTGCACTACGGCACGGTGGTGTACCATGTGTTTGCACTCCGGATCGACGTCCTGCCTCGGGAAGCTTCAACTGGGCTATCTTCATTGTATTTACAGATAGAATACGATGGGTCCTGCGATCTCCACACCCCAGACCATTTATGCCACTGGAAATGGCAATGAAGTTACTGGCCAGTGAAGCTGCCACGCTCCGATACCTGAGGGCTCATAGCGACATTCCAGTCCCAATAGTGTACGACTACTGGTAAGAGACCCTCTCAGACACAAAATGTTAATGTGCTAATCTGTAGTAGCGCTTCTTCCGACAACGATATCGGTATCCCATTTATTCTCATGAGCGAAACGCCGGGGTGGCCACTCTCGAAAGCCTGGAAACCGGCTGGTTCTCCTCAGCGTGACCTAGACACATCCATCAAGGCAAGAATTCTCACACAGCTGGGCCGCATTACCTGGAAGCTCTCCCACTTGCGCTTTGAGAAAATTGGCTCACTTTCCGAAGAAGAGGAGTCCTTCCAACCCAAGGAAGGCCTCTCACGTGGTCACATATTACATGAACGATACGATCTGGAGACCTCGCGTGGACCTTTCACTTCTGAGGCAGAGTTCTGGGACAGCCTTATTTCTGCGTTCGTGGGGCACGCAGAGGCTCTGCCGTTATCGCACCATTGCTTCGTGGCACCTGTTCCCTCGCCCGAAGATTACCAAGCCGGCATGCAATACAAGAGCGCCGTGAGCCTATGGAACGACTTCGTGACTGTTGGAGGTAAAATCGACTCGTCACAGAACAGACTGGGTTACATCATTGTGGGCAACGCGCTCCGCGACATTTTACACAGTGGTCAACTTCCAGCCATCGTTCCGGAGACATTTCCCTTGTGCCACGCTGATCTGAGTGTCAACAATATATACGTTGATGACGACTATAATATCACGTGCATAATTGACTGGGCATTCTCTTCATCCATCCCCGAATCCATGTTGTTAGCCGCCCCAGGACTGCCGCAGTACCGCGACGAAATCATTTCAGAATTACATACCCCCTTTATTCATGATTTTGTCGCTGCCATGCCCGACTCCGCCGACAAGAGCTTGATCCACAGATATCGCGAATCACTTGATCAGGCCCACGTTGCCTGGAGATTGAGTCGCCTTCTCAGCCTTGACTCTATTGCCGACTACGACCTTTTCGCGACCGTGTGGCACTTTACACGTGGTCCCGAGGCCGATCTGGCACAATATATCCTACAACAGCGGTATTCGCCTCGATACGTCCAGCTTTATAAAGAACTTCAAAAAGAGGACCAGCAACCCTCAAAGATTGAGAAAGATGAAAAGAACTACTTTCACGACAAGGATCTCAGATATAGAGTTGCAAAGAGGCTGAAGATTATGTCAGAATGGAAAACTCAATATACCGCAGACGATCCGCCAACACGGCTTCGTAAAGACATGTTTGTCGCCGGCCCCAAGCTGTGGAAATGGATCCTACAGTTTATGCGAGACTGGGAAGACATGCGATGACTGGTCATTTATGCAAGAAAGGAACCGCCTGAGGATTTCCGCGGGCGATACTGTTAATGCGAGCGAGGCCGTTCATGCGAGCCAGGCCTCGCAGTTGCGAATAACGGCAGAGAAAGCTTTCGTGATCAGGGCTAGTTGAGCAGCCGGTCAGCGTGCTTGGAAGCCTGTGAAATCCACATATCAGCGCAGCTAATCACTCGTCCCTCGATGGCCTATCCCTAGTAGGGCTCAGCACATACTGGGCTCGGTGCGTTGCGATGGATGCTCTTGGCACTGTTTTCACGATGGCCTCGCTTTCTCCCGACTACTTTCATGAATGAGCTACTCGGTTCAGTGCGTTACGATTGTATTTTTTCGTCACTGCCGTCGATCTACCGCCTTTTCTCCCTTGTACTGCTTCATATCCAGGAATGATCTGAACTCGAGAATAGGTTGTGCACTAACGTGCCCCGAGGATGTTTGTCAACGTGGTCCGATTGAGGCTAAAGGGGGATCTCGTACATGGCAGGAATCGATCTGTATAACTCGTGATTAGTCAAAATGGGAACAGAAGCTCAAGGGCTCACTGCCTTTTATGATGGAAACGGTCAAACACTTGTGAACGGCCTGCAAGGTGACCGTGACCTGCCGCCACTCGGCCTATCGCTGATATACGTGTGTAGGAATTAATCAATCAATCAATCTGAGGGTCATTAGTGAACAAAATTTAGAGGATGAGATTCAATTGGCAGATATGAAATTATTAAATCGTAACGGACCTCACTGAGTATGTGCTTCGCAAGCACGATGTGTTGATGTAGGGTTTCAATCGAATGCGCTCAACCCTGGTTCTTTTTTTTTTGTTTCCTTTTTCGCAATGCAGTGATAACTTATCGTTTACTCGTGAGAAGACTGATATCATTCATGTACCGAAGTAGAATTCCCGTTGCGCATGGCATCATCTATCTATCTCATCAATTAAACATTAAGCTGGGACTAATCCCCCGGCGATCCTATGAGTAGAGGGGAAAATAAATCAAACAAATAGGAAAAATGAGAGAGGAATGAAAAGAAATGAAGTGAAAGGGCAATGCAAGCAGAGCAAAGAGAACAACCCCGGAGGACTTGTAAGAATATTCAATCTTCCGCATTCACTTGGCGCCGAAGTCCCATGATTGGTATACCTTCAAAAATTTTACGCCTGGCAGAAACGCTGGTACGAGGCGCGGGGTCCTCTGGGGACGACACCACGATCATCACTGATGATGACATGTTTTTTTTAAACTCTTCGGAGGATTGCCTTGGAGGAGAAGGTATAGGTTGAGGATTAGATGGAGGCTTGATCGATTGATCTGGTGCCGGTGATAGAGTGCTTGGTTGGGGGTTAGACGACTCGCTTGGGGTGGAAGACATGATTCGAGGGGCAGATCGAGGCTCACTCGTCTGCTCTGAAGAGGATGGTGGAGCTGCTGCTGGGGACGAGTTAGAGGGCTCTTTTGATGGAGACATGGGTCGAGGAGTAGACGAAGGTGCGATTGTGAGAGAAGAATTCGAAGCCTGCCTTGGAGCAGACAAACTTTCAGAAATAGATGCTTGCTCTGGAGGCGGCGATGACACGATTGGTGGAGAAGGGGGCGAGAGATCTCTTGCAGTATATGTAGAAGTAGACAGAGACATAGTCCTTTGCTCTCGAGGTAGCAATGGAGGGGTTACTGGGGACGAGTCCGAGGACTCGCCTGAAGATGTTATTGGCTCAAGGGCAGTCGAAGGCGAAGTCGTCCGCTCGGGAAGCGAAGTTGAAACAACTGCTGATAAGCAGTCAGATTTATCCTCTACAAAGGACATAGGTTGAGTAGGCAGAGATTCAATTGTCTGCTCTGGAGGAGGGGGTGGAGCGGTTGCTGGGAACAGGCCCGAGAACTCCCCCGGAGGGGAAGGTGATTGAGAGGTAGACGGAGGTGTAGTCTTGTGCTCTACAGGCTCTGATGGAGAATGTTGGTCCTGTCGAGTCGTGCTACCCCGAAATGATTCGGCTGATGCTCGTGATTCCCGGCAGGAAGCAGGAGGCGAAGGTGGTGGAATAGACGGTTCAAAAACTGGGAGTTTTGGTGGTTTGGGTGGGGCAGGTCTCGCTGTTGCTGGTAATGCTGGAGTCAGAGCCTCATCCCTGATAAACGTTGGGATTGGCCGTGGTGGCAGAGGGGCTGTATCTTCATACTTAGAAGACGGGCGTGGTGGCGGCGGTGGAGGCCGTTCGGGCACTGCCAGAAGAGATTGTGGTCGTGAGCCTTCACGCCCGGTACTAGGGCCTGGTGTGCTCGGCCCAAGTCCCCAAGAATAGGTTAGTGTCAACACCACCTTCAACCATTTCTTTGACTGCAACGGAGGATTTCAAGGTGCCATTAAGCTCACTGGGGGCACCTCAGTCCCTTGAACGCGGTCCTTGAGCTGCACAACACCAAGATTCTGTCTGGAGTCCAGACACCACAGTCGATGTTTCAAGCAGAGTACTTCCATTTCCTGGTACATCGCCTTGCACTTCCTCGATACTAAGATGCAACGCCATCATTCTTGTCCATCTTTGAGCGTCTTAGCGAGATCTTTAGCCCCTGATTGTCCATGGGAGCTCACCGCCTGAGCCATTGTGTTGACAAGGGGCCGTTCATCCCAAATAGCCTCCAGGCTACAATCCACCATCTTCACGCTCCGAGAAGAATTCCTTATCGATTTGGCGGGGAGGGAAAGGGCTGGAGGGGTTGCCCATCTCGAGGGTTCTAGTTGGTGACGGTGGGGTTTTTGAATTTAAACTGTCCATTCCCGCCGTACATTCGTACACTCGTATACTCGTATGTTCGCTCATTCGCATGCCCGCATACTGGTCACCTCCACCTCACAAATAATTCCACCCCAAACATAACGCAACACACATTCAGTTCCTATTCTTTAGACCTAGTCTAGTTACATATCACGAGATCAAGATTTGGGATCTGAACCCAAGATAATCGAGCTATATCCTAAAAGGAAATTTGACTCGTAAGTAGGTATATCGTAAGCCGGTCTTTGTCTATACGTCCAACAAAACTGAATTGCCTGAAATACTAGGCACTTTTCAGATAAGGCCTTCTAATTGAATCAGGAATTATGCATATATCTATGCGAACAACGACTGAAAGTAAGACTCTCAGCCAAAACGGCTATGGTTGGATATGTTATTCTACCACAAAGTTCGGAAAAAATGGAATCTGTAAGTGTTCTTTCTTATTATTCTTGAGGTGGAATTATTCCCAAGTTGAAAAGAACCGGCCCCTGGGCTGACGATGGCAATGAGTATCCGTACGTTCGTACGCTCGTATATTCGTATCTTCGTAAATCTAGGCTTCCTAGGGTTCGGATCCCCGCCGGAAACTCAGTTTTGCGCCCCACTTCCTCTCAGGTACTGTACACAGGCGCCATGGTCCTACGAGAATAAGAGCAAGATCTATTTTCATTGCTCGTGGTACCAAATCATGCTCAATTCGCCACGAGGAGAAGAAGAGTCCTCCACATGTTCTCATTCAAAATGGCTTCTCAACCTCCAGCCCTGCAAATGGGCCGGAATCCTTTTTGACTGCAGCACCAGAGAAATAGACGAAGTGTGACACTATACTATTCATACACCTTGCATATAAACGTGCCGTCACCACAGAGTGTCTGGCATTCTACACCCATGGCCAACCCAAATACAGACCAAAATGCTTCAGGTTTCGTCCTGTACCGCTACACGCCCTCGATTGCGGCAGCAGTGGTCTTCACTGTGGTGTTCTGCGCGCTTGCCATTTTCTTCGTCTATCGCATCGTCCGGCACCGGACACTTTTTTTTTATCCCTTCTTGGTTGGACTGATCTGTACGACCACCCCTCCTTGATTCTTAGAAAAGAGGTAAACTAACTGGACCTGCTGGGGTATTAGTTGAAGCCGCCGGCTACATCGCGCGGATCTTCTCGCACTTCGACACCCAGGCCCTGGGGCCCTACATCACGCAAACGATGCTCATCCTCGTTGCGCCGCCTCTCTTCGCCGCCTCCATCTACATGACCCTGGGCCGCCTCATCACCCAACTCCACGCCGAATCCGCCTCCCTCATCCGCGTCCGGTGGCTGACCAAGATCTTCGTCGTGGGCGACGTCATCTCCTTCCTCTTGCAATGCGGAGGCGGCGGATACATGTCCGCCGGCAGCGACTCCGCCATGCTCGCCGGCGAACACATCGTCGTCGCCGGCCTCGCGATCCAGCTCCTCTTCTTCGGATTCTTCGTCCTGGTCGCCTCTCTCTTCCACTGGCGGTGGGGCTACGCAGCCTCCCATTCCACCGCCACCACAACCGTCAAATCCCAAAGCGGCCGGCTCTCGTGGCGGGGGCTAATGTGGGCGCTGTACGCGGCGTGTACGTTCATTCTTGTTCGGTCTATATTCCGAATGGTTGAGTTTGTGCAAGGAAACGACGGGTGGATTATGCATCGCGAGTATCTGCTGTATATATTCGATGCGTTGCTCATGGCGGGGACGGCGATGGTGTTGGGGTTTGTGTTCCCGGGATCGTTTTTGGAGGGTCGGAAACGCAGTGCGGAGAGGGCTGATTCTGTTTGATATTTTATTCGTCAGATGGATGCTTTGTCTTGCTTTCATCGCCTTGTAGCATTTCTTCTCATTGCCTTTTGTCCTTTTTTCTCCTTTTGCGTAGCTGCGGTGGGGGAAGGAGGCGGGGGAGGAGTTAACTTGCTGATAGCGCGCTGAAATTGATCTATATTCTCACTTTGGGGCTTAATTTCCTTGGAGCGTTTGCCTCTTTACTCTTTCTCAACATAGAGAGCACAACCGGAATTAACCTGCCATAAAGATAGGAATTTCTCGTCTTGGTCCATTCCATTGAGGCTTTCACTCTACCGAAGCTAGCTAATGTGAATAGTGGCCGAGAACGAACTAGACAAGATGAAAGGGGGGGATGATCTCTTTGCATTATGAAAAAAAAGCCCGATCACTTGTGGGGTCTAGCACATTGCACGGTTTCGTATATTCGTACAAAAGAAGTTTACCATCGGAACCGGAAGGTCACAACCTGTCGTGAAACTCTGGTTCTGCATGTGTGGGGAACCAGGGGCCATGGAGGAAGAAAAGTATATTCGGGTGCCGCCCAAGCAAGTTTTGGCCCCACAGAGACCTGCAGGTTTTGACTATCCCGGAAGAGGAACAGAGGGTATATGGTACTGTATGCGAATTAGGGACGGCATTACGAAATTTACGAAATTTGCCTTCCTACCAGAGACAGGGAGGGAAAAGATGACGAAAGAGAGGGAGAAAAGAAGAAGAAAAGAAGAAAAATCCCGACTGGGAAGGCGACAAGGTCAAAGTGTGAGTGAGCTAACAGATTTCCTTTCATCGAGACTCCGCAATGACGGCCATGGGCCACTTCAATAGACCACTTAATGCCTCGTTCTCTAGTCGGCTCACCAGCCGGATGATCTTCTGAATTTCCGAGCGAAAGCCGCTGTTTAGATACCACAAATCCTGAAAGAGGATTGAGACAAGGTAGAAATGGGCTAGGATCGTGTACGAAAACCCCTCCGCGGCCCCCAGGTGGTCGACAGCGGAACTCTGGAGGCTGTCAAAGAAGCGAGCCGAAAGCATACAGGGCCAGGACATCACGGCGCTGTCTTCGATGTCGTTCTGAATGTCAAGGGAGGCGGGGGTGTCACGCTCGCTTCGCGAAAATTGCAGGGCGTAGAGGATGCGCATGTAGATCTCTTCTAGTCTGTCGATGGTGTGGAGGTGGTCATGTTGTGGGCACTCGTCTTGTTCGTGGTCGTGCTGTGAACTGTCATCCGCTCCATTACTAGGTGTTGGTTGGTCGTGATGATCGGTCTGCTGAAGTCTGCTGAGGCTATCTCCATCAATGAACATCGTGGCTTCTTGGCTTGGAGACAAAGTCCTTGCAAAGATGCGAAGCATTTGGAGGGCTCGGCAGGCACCCTGGGCAAAAACGTGGAAGACTTTCGGGGCATACCTCAGGCGGGGAAATTGCGATGAGGAAATCGCCGGCACAGCCGCCTTCCAATCATCATTGTCGTACAAGTAAAACAACATGGTTCGCAGTCGTCCGCGCTTGAGAGTGAACCAGTGCCCCTCAATTATGCTTGTCAGGCCGCGGACAAGATGCAACCAGTCGATGTATGGACTCTGGTCATCGTCGGCTTGGCTAAAACCCAGCCAGGCTGTGCGATCTTGATTTCTGGTACATATTGAAGCAAAGGAAATAGCAGTAATGAGAAGGGCACCGCAGAAGATATCTTCTGCAGTAGTGGGAGAGATATCAGTCAAGGCTTGGCGGTAACCTTCAAGGCCCATTTGATGATGCTGAATGACGCGGTGATACTCAAGCTGAAGCTCATGTTGGCTGCAGGCGGCCAAGGATGACTGATTGTCGTCTATGCCTGAGGCGGTTGATTGCGTCATGTAGGCTTGATATAGAACATGCTCGCCCGAGAGAGCGAGGAGTAGATGCATCAGATACTCTTTCTTGGTCACCATATCTGGGATCACCTGTTCCCAAACATCTTTGCGTGTCGCACTGAGGGTCATCTCCTTTGAAGTGTGCATCATGAACCTTGACAGGAGGCGTAAATCGGCTAGATGGATATTTTGGCTGAGTAAAGGAGGTTCCGCGGACTGTCGTTGGTGACGAAATTTTAATGGTTGCAAGGGGCCTGCTGCGGAACTTAGACGTCGAGGAGACCTGGAAGGCACAGAACTAGGCTTCATGTGTTAGTTTATTCTTCTGAGATTATGAAAGCAGTCAGATAATCTGCATACGTGGATAGTGTTAATAGAGGATATGAACAGGTTTCCCCACGAAAAGCGCATGCGCCACAGATAGGCTGCACCTCATCGCACTGAGCTGGATTGTTAGTGCATTTATTCAGAAGTTGTCGAAGAAAAGTGTTGCTGACTTTGACCCTCCGTTGCTTACATGTGAAGCACCCCTTGCGGGATTTGTGGTGCCGGACGCGACGCCTCCTTTCCTTTGATAAACGCGAGCTACTATCCTGGTCCCGTGAAGGTCCGGCCTCTAGTGGTAATGATGTGTCCGACATACTTAGCGCGGCATACGCAGAGCCTGATGACTTGATTGAAGGCGATGCTAATGAGCTTGAAGATGATGGCGAGTTTGTCTGGAGGTTGGATCTTGTTTCTGCCATTTCGCTATTACGGAGGGCCAAGAGGTCCAGGGCCGCACATATACCGCCTGTCATCGCTGGGGCCGGCGACCTTGTTGGCGGGAAGAAGAAGAAAAACATCTTTCCCTTAAGTTCACATATACTGAATCGTGCTGGATAGGGAATCTTTTTACCTAGACAATAGAACAAGGAAGGTGAGAAAAGCACTTCCATCGTTGGCAGCTGCGTAGTACTGCACAGTGATGGGCAGAAGTCATTATGTACAGAATCAATCTTGGAGAAGGGTTACTCTCGTGGCAAAGGATGCAAAGTTATGGGACTGACATACCTATCTTGTATCTATTGATAGGGCTCATCTTATGAGAGTTGCATTCGATTCCATGGCTGGGCTGCGCAACGAGTGTCGCGGGCGGCAACATATGACGATACGAATATACGAGATGAACGACTGCAGCCCTAGTGATTTTTACTTCCAGCATGCCAACCTATTTTTAAATCATTCAAGCCTACATATATACTAAACTCGTGAGATTCTCTCTTTATTGACTTCTCTTAATCATTTTTGTCATCGACGTATCTGCTTGATTACTGAAATGAGCAACGACAGCACCAGCGATAACAGCACCAATGCTGCCGCAGTGTTCGCATTCTATCGATATGACCCCAGCATGGCTGGTGCAGTCATCTTCACAATACTCTTCGCAATTGCAACGATATGGCATATTGTCCAGCTATGGCGGACTCAAACATGGTTCTTTATTCCTTTTGTGGTAGGAGGCATCTGTCAGTAAATTCTCACCGCCATCAATCTTACACCCACAACAAAATGCTTACTTGGTACTCCCACCAGTCGAAATCATAGGCTACATTGGCCGAGGACTTTCAAGTCACGAATCGCCCAACTGGACTCTGGGCCCCTACCTCCTTCAGACCTTATTCCTCCTCCTGGCTCCTGCCCTTCTCGCCGCCTCAATCTACATGCTTCTCGGCCGGATCATCCTGATCCTGGACGCAGAATCCCACGCCATCCTCCGCAAAAAATGGCTAACCAAGGTCTTTGTCACCGGAGATGTCCTCTCGTTCTTCCTCCAAGGCGCGGGTGAGTTCAGCCATCCAATCTCCCACCTTCCCTCAACACCTCTTTCCCCCGAGACAGTCCTGACACCCCGCAAAGGAGGCGGAATCCAAGCCAGCGGCAGCCTCTCCAGCATGCAAACCGGCGAACACATCATCGTCGCCGGGCTCTTCGTGCAGATCTTCTTCTTCGGTTTTTTCATGGTCACAGCCGGCGCGTTCGATCGTAAGCTGAAGAAATACCCCATCCCGCGGTGTCGCGATCCGTCCGTCCCCTGGCGCAAGCATCTCAATATCCTCTACCTCACCAGCTTCCTCATCATGGTGCGGTCTGTCTTCCGGTTGGTCGAATACCTGCAGGGTAACAATGGGTATTTGTTGCATCATGAGGTCTTCCTGTATATCTTCGATGCGGTGCTGATTTTCTCGGCGATGGCGGTGTTTAACTTCTTTCATCCGAGTGAGATAACTCATTTGTTGCATGGTGGGGGGGATTATGAGTTGCAAGGTGCGGGTGATAAGTATGGTGTGTGAGGTGGTTTGGTTTGGGTGGTGTGGTTCGTGTTGCTTGCATTTTGTATCCTCATTGGGATGAAGGATGGGCTGGGAGAGGACAGAGGTTGATCGAACGATTTGGTGGCCAAATGCTGTTGTGGTATACTATATACACTCTACGTCTGATTTGTATATATTCAACCCTGTTTTGGACGGTGACTACTTAGCTACAAGACCGTCGATAGAAACCAAGATACAGATCCTTGTTCTTTTTCATTTCCTTTCTTCTTTTTTTTGCTTCCAAAATTCAGATGCTATTCCACTGTGGATTATGTTCCAAGCATTACGATACTAGAAGGCACTGAATGGAGCAACCAGATCCGTATGTTCATTAAGATTGAGTCCTTATATGTAGCAATGTTGTCACGGGAGGAGGCAAGGTTGCTGACATCATTGAAATAATAATGCAAGCTTAGCTTAGTTTGTAAACAGGGCGCCTGGCTAGTTAACAGTGCCACAGAGCATTCCAGTTATTCGCATGCACACAGGCGTGGTCTGAGGCTGAAAATCGTGAGCCTCTGATAAAAATGTGTTAGTAAACCTCCCATGCGAAGAAAACAGCTACACATAGAGGTCTGTACTTGATAGTCAGGGCCAGTACACTGTACGAACTGCAGATGACTTCGAGTATGATATGCCTATGTGCTATCAGATACATAAAACAACTCCTGCAGGAGATCATAAATTCCACTATGTGCGAGTCAAACATGATCAAGATCGGTAATAACAAATCCGTCTTTCAACCCCATAAAACGCCCGCTGAAATACTCGCAAGCAAGAGAAAACAATCCTTGATCAGAGAAGCAACACCGAAAACGCCCCATCATCAGCATCAGCATCAATTGTCATCCCACATCAGCCACAGGCAGATAATGGCCATGCAGACCATGATGCAACCCAACACCCACAGGGACGCCGTCACCACCTCCGCGGAGCCGGAATTTGCCGCCCCCTTGTGAGTAGGGGAGTGAGTACCGGTCAGAGTATTAAGGTCAGGGCTCTCATCAGTGACGGTGGTCTTCGATGCTTTGGCAGTGAAGGTCACAACCACCGTGACGCGGCTAGCGGTGCCGGTTTCCTGAGGAGAGAAGGTCGCGGGGACCACGGAGCCTTTGTACATGTAGATTGTCGAGGTGGAGGTGGAGAGGCGACGGGTGGAGGTTGGGGAGGGTGATTCTTCGGGGCTTGTGAGTGCAGCGAGCTCGTGGAGACTCACGGGGGTTGGGGTGGGCCAGTCGGTGGATGGGGATTCGGTGCGTGCGTTAGAGCAGGGGTAGTCTCGTTTGAACTGGGTAGGACTAGGGGTAGAGGTAGCAGTAGGGACTTCCAAGGTCGTGCTCAGTGCAATGACTGTGATGGTAGTGTAGGCAGTCGAAGTACGTGTGAGTCGTGGCACGGAAGTTGAGGGCCAGTCATACTGGGAAGAAGTGGACGGCCCATAGACGACAGCAGTGCTACTAACACTGGGAGCTTCTTCTTGTCCGTTCTGTTGGGCTTCCTCGCAAAGGAGAGTCTCCGGAACGGCAACAGGCAGAACGGGGCTGGAAAGGACGTAGCCAGTGCCGTTGAAGGCGCAGAGAGCGTCGCCGGCTGAGGTAGAGGTTTCGTGACCTTTCAGAGTATTAGTTGATAGTCTGCACGAAGCAAGATGAGTATAGGCTGGGTAAAGGTACAGATAGACTTACAGGTCGCAGCTTGCTTGTACTCATCCGGAAGCACTTTAGACAGCCTAGTCGCGCCTGCAGTGAGCCCTTAGTGCCTTCTGAATCCAGGAACAAGGAAGAACTTACAGAATGTTACAGGTATGAATCTCAAAAGACACATTCGAAGCACAGCTGATAAGAGTTGGCCCCTTTAGCGAGCCGTGAAGGCAGTAACTTCCACCATTCTGGGGGCAAAGAACGATCTTGGTATCGGGGTAACTATAAAAGATACGACCGCGTTAGCTTACTTCAGGCTCTTACTGAGGATGACTTACTACAGTATTTGTGCTGCGGTACTCAGCTGAAAGGAAAGGCAGATTGTGACCGCCAGGGTCCACAAGGAACGCATGGTAGTAACGGGATTTGATGTTCTTTGTAGACTTGTTCTTTGAACCAGATCGATAAAGCTGGAAGAAGACGGGACGGTGATCGGGGGTGAAGAGAAGAGAAAGAATTGAACAAAGAAAATTCAACACACAGCGAAGTGGATATACACTTTAGCGCGTTTTCTGATTGATATCTCAGGAACGCGTCACTTCAAAGTCGCGTCGGGCGCACCATGGACGTTATCCTATACTTTTTTACCCTATAATCGATGGTAATACAAGTAACTCGCTATTCCTACACTGAGCAACGTTTTACTTGGTGTGGTGCCACAATGAATTTATCTAGCATTGGTCTATATAGTAGGGTTTGTAGATCACACCCGTGCCAAGCATGAGGCTATACTCATCTTCGGGCTTCAGCCCGGCATATGGTTTTAGCTTTAAGTTTCAGTTCCTATGAGATTGGCTGCAGCCCGGTAGTTGAGGAGAGAGATGTCTATTATACTGCTTTCCTAAGTTGAAATAGCAACCTATTCTATGCCAATATCTCAGTCATGTGACCCCCGGACGAGGCTGTGGCTGCCTTATTCTTATTGGAAGCCTTTCGTGCCTGCAAGTAGAATAGCTGCACCGCCCCAAGGCAGACACATGACACTAGATAGGTGTGAACACAGAATAAAATACTAGTGTAAGCTCTTATCGCTTTCCTACCCGATTTCACATATCATCCTCTCCTCAGCCCCAGCCTCGTCCTTTCACTCCATGGCGTTTTCTGTTGCGCCATCCACGACCATCGTCTCATAGTTGAGGAGTCCCGGCTTGTTTGATTCCGTTTTCTGTGACCAATGTTGATCAATTATCCCTCTCGTTCATATGTCCCCATCCGCTTTTGACCTCAACGCCCAACGGCGAGATCTGGTCGACCAAATCATACAAGATCTGCACCAGAGATTCGTGCGCCCAGATGATAACCCCAAGCGCTTCATCTGTCAGAAAGACCTCATTGAGGTGTGGAAATATGAATCCCGACTATTTGATTTGCTTGGGCCTCGTCCTATATTTCTGGGTGACATAAGGAGCGCGCAGAAAGACTTCGTCGCCATACTGTCTATACTGGTTTGGATCGGGGCGACTGCAACGTTAGGAATGTTCTGCGAAATCCTCCACACCAGCGGAATCAGCGATGCAAACCTCCCGTTGCAAGAAGAGGACATACGGAATCTCCTCTCAACGGAACGATGGCTCACCAACCTCTTTATGGACTACCAATGCACGTTCTGTCCGGCTGTGATTGACTGTAATCCAAACCGGCCTGTACAAGTAATCGCTGAATCTCATCGCTTGCCTTTCCTGTCAAAGCCCAAGTGGATTGGGTCCGGAGGATATGCCTCTGTGGATCTTGTGGAGATTGCGCCGCGTTACCTGAAAACAAAACAAGGTGCCTTTTTCGAGAACCCCTACAAGGTGGCTTGCAAGAGGTTCGAAGGCAGCATACAGCTACAGGATTTCCACACTGAACTAGCAAATCTCCAGAACTTCAAGAATAGTCTCACGAGTCAGGCACACATCTTACAGCATCTCACCACCGTTGCACATGGATCCGATTACTACATACTGTTTGATTACGCCCAGCATGGTGATTTATTCCAGTTCCTGTCAGATGGTGCTGGCAAGTATGACTTTCGGGAAGAGTTTCCAGGTGTCACGTCTCTAGAAACATTGAAGACCCACGAAGCGCTTCTATACCAATGTTGGGCTTTAACGTCGGCTCTAGACTGGTTGCACAATCATATCACAATCAAGACCAAGATAATCAGGTGCGCTCACATGGATCTCAAGCCTGATAACATCCTGATCATGAATGATGCCGAGTCTATCGTGGGGAAATGGATGATTTCAGATTTCGGAATCTCAGTCACACAAAATGACCGCCGCACGCATGCCCTGAGTATCAGAGATCTTTATCATGAGGTTACTATCAATAAACCAGCATTCCGTGATCTTGGCACATACCAGCCCCCCGAGGGAATTCGTGTAGAAGGCCACGGAACCGATATTGAGGGGGCAGGACGTCGCAGCGATGTATGGTCTTTCGGGTGTGTTTTCTCTGAGGTTCTTGCATGGGCGATAGGCAGGGAGGAAGAGGTTCTGAACTTTGCAGAGAAACGCAAAGTCCCAGGCCAGAATGATTCATTTTGGGAAGAGTTTACGCCGAACAGTCTACCTCCAGGTGAGAAAAAGTTCAGACTACGCGGGTCAGTGACCACGTGGTTAAACAGTATCCGGTTTCAGAGGCCTCTCACAAACCCCGTATTGACGGTTTGGGCACAGAAGGTTCAAGAGAAGATTCTGATTGTGGAAAAGAACGACAGGCCAGAGGCAGAAACGCTATCAGTGATTGTGAGGGGTCTATACGAAGAATGCGTTAAGCTCACACGGCCTGATACGCAGCCTAGGCCTCACACACAACTTGGGCTCAACATACAACGCGGCTTTGACAGACACATCGGGCCTGACACACAATTTGCACCTGACGCGCGACCAGCCTCCGAATTACAAGCAGCCTTGGGTACACAGTCAGTGCCTTGTGAGCAGATCCAACCACCATCACCAGGACGGAACGCTCCAGAGGTGGTGGAGACCCCCGGGCCTGTTCTCCCTTCACCGTCGAATTCCCAAACCCCCATTTCGCTGAGTTCGGGAGGACGAACGAGTTACGATGCTTCCAGTTGGACTACCAGCAACCATTCACCTAGCAAACCCATTGATAAATTCAGTATTCAAAAACACAACAGCAAAGACATTCTCGCGTCTGCTGTATCTCGGTCTATAATACAAGATAAGGTGCCTGTCGCATTGCTTTACAAGGAGCGAATTGATCTGATACAAATCAACATTTCTGATGATATGTCAAGACACGTACGAAGCATTTTACTTGCGAATAGATGGGGGAGTGGAAATGCGGGCGTGGTAATTGAAGGCCATTATTTTGCAGCCTGGGGAGACTGCAAGAAGAAACTGAGAAGGACTGTAAGTATGCTCGCCAACTAATAAAGAATTTCTAACAAGTTGCAGGCTTACATTGGGGATGCAACGGCAGGCGACCCTAGACCGATGCTACCGGTGAATGTGGACTTTATCAGTTCTGTCGCAGTATCACCCCGTGGAATATTCGCTTTGGTCCGTGACAGGGAGATTATACTGCAATCAGGAAGCCCTGACTACAGTACCAAATACTTAACGACCGGCTTAGAGCTAGATCAAACCTTCACCCACGCAGTGTTCAATGTTAAGGGGGACATGTTGTTTGCGTGGGCAGTTTATGGCAAACAAGAGTCCTTGTACGCGTGGAAAGTCGACGACAATACAAACCCAGGTCCTCATCATGTTATTCATTACAGTCTGGTGCGTCCCATATGAGCCGTACCCCAAAATGATTGTCTTGGCCTTTCTAATCGACCTACAGCAGGCGCGTGACTACCAGCCCACTACTATCATTCCCTACAACACCCGTCCCGGGTGTATTCTTGCAAGCCAAAAGCGACAAGGATACCTCGCAGTCTCTTTGGGCGGGAATGATGCAAGCCTGCCAGGCATCGAGCGCGTCAATGAGCATATTGATATAAGCCTGGGTTGTGTACTAGGCGACGAGTGGCTGCTTGGACTTACAAGAACAAGGCCCTTACACTCAAATGTGCATCTGGAGAGATACACAATTCTTCATGCCAATGGTGAGGATCGCTTGAACCACCCAAGCAGACGTTTATATGAATTGCCCAAGAAATACGGACAGCCGTGGTCAATGCAGGCATACAGAAAGGGGGAGTGTATTGTGGTTGTGGTGCTTACCGAGCACAACACATGCATAATTACGACTAACAATACACTGTAAAATACTTCAATTGATATTTAAGCACGCCCACTGCTACACATGCAATGAACGGGTTTGTGTAAAGAGTGCACAGTAGAATAGCTAGCCTCGAGGTGACTGCAGCTTGGTTATCTTAACTGGTCGCGCGAACAGGTTAAATGGCTTCCGTTTCCACCACGCATCAAACCAGACAATCAGCACATACACTAGACCAGTTACAAGGGTTAGTGGAAGCCATGTGGCGATGAAGACCCAGAAATCATGTGCGATGACAATCTGGCGGGCATCTGTGTCGAATACAAAAAAGTTCATCCCGTAGAGACTAACGATGAATGAGCCGGGCAGGTAGACTGCGGACAGAAATGTGATGATCTTGACTGCGGCGCTATCATCGACCGAGTCGCGCTGCAACATCTCAAGATGGCCGATGAGATCTCTCAGTTCGCGATCGATCTTTGCGGTGTCCAGTTGGTTGTGCAAGGAGAGGGTATAGCCCGCCTGCATCTCGTCAGTTGCTACGATGCCTCCGATACAATGTTAGGAATCCTATAGTGATGAATTCTGCTTACCAAGTCTATCGCATTGCGGATGCGGGGGATCAGTTCATCGCAGCTTGCAAGGTAGCCACGAAGTTCCGTCCCTATAGCGTCGCATGCCGTTACGGCTCGCTCCAACGTGTCATCAGCCGTACTCAGTGTTCCAGAAGATGTGGCGGCCTTTAGCCTTTCCACCAGCTCGAGGCTCCCACGACAGCACACTTGAGCACGCAGGGCTGAGTCATTGAGGTCGCGGAGAGAAGCAAGCATGTCATAACTTTCTAAGGGTGTCGCCTCGTCGGGGTCGGCGATGAGAGCAAGATCGTTCTGTCGAACCCCATATTAGCCACTCGACCGTTAGGATAAATGGGACAGGTGGCCTACGTGTTTTTCAAACTTCTTGCCTAGATCTCGAAGGTACCATCGCCAGTTCCCCAAGAATGATGACAAGGCAAGGGAGTGGAGAGCTGTTGGGAGGTGGCTTCTATGCTCGCGACCTGTGTGGGATTCTGACGGTATGTCTTGTGGGGGTGGAAGCTGAAGCTCTTTCTGTATTCGTCGCTCGTAAACGTTGTCTTCGGTGGGATGAAGAAGGATGAATAGATCAGACTCCTCGCCCCCTGATGAAATACAATGATGATGGTATACTCCTGTATGACGCCATGACCATAACAACCCTCTCGGATGGTGCTTCTCTTCGACGTAGTTGATCTGATATGTTATATCTGCACATGCTTCGGTGAGCTACTGCGGTGGCAGAAAATTTGAGTAGCATTGGTGAACCCACAAGAATCACCGCCATCTTTGCCAGCAAATAGATAATTGTTCCCTGCCTCCGAGACGTGGACATTGCTTGCGAACGAGAGAAGGACTTGGATGAACCCAGGGTGAACGGAATATCGTCGGAATATGTCTGCCATCAAGGCCGGCGAGATTCTCAAGGGACTAAATGCGTTGACCGAGTAGATTGAACTGTTTTCGACTCAAAGTCAGCTTTTCTCTTGTGTAGAACCAATGAATGGCTGAACACACACGATCCTCAACTTTCCATTATCCATGGCTAAGGCCTGTTGCAGAGCATCGGGTGTTTCACAGAGAAAAGAATCACTGCGGCCATCCCTCACATCGGTTACTCGGACACGGGTCTCTTCCTTGGTAGTCAAGACTGAGGGAACACGTGTGGCGAGCAGTTTCTCGAGAGCGATCGTATTCACAGAAGAAGGATCATGGTGTCCGGGCAATTCCCGTAGATAGGCTTGCCAGATGTCTGGGTTATGCTCGGTTCCTGCTATCATTGTACTAGGGGTGAGTTTGAGGAAGTATATGCTTATGACAATGAATGATATGGGACTGAAATGATAAAGATATATTCTCTGATGGTGAGGCGAAAGTACACACGGGGAAAGTTTGCGGAACTACAGATAAGCCTGGGAGGCCTCAGGCTACTAGGCGCATTTTTGCCATAGAGGGGAGATCCCTGTCATTGACTCTGTTGGGCTGAATGGCTGACCGCAGTAATTGACCACTGGCTGAGCTTTTCGGGGTTCGGCCCCTCCGAGGCAATTATAGCTCATGATGTACTGAGTATTGATTCGACTTGGACGCCGGCGAACCTTGCCTCCTTCCTTCACCTCCACCTCCACTCCCACCACCACTTTAGCCTTGTCCCCCGGTCATCTTTCCCATCTATTCTCCTCTGCTTCTCCGTCCTTTCAGTTCGAGTGCCATCTGGCTGGTCATTTTACTCTGTGTCAGCCAGCCTTGTCTTCGAGGCGGGTTGATCGAAGGTCGAAAAGAACCTTACCAAAGCTCCTCCTTTGCCCGAAGTTAGCTCAGCCTCTTTCACCGGTCACATACAGTGTGCAAGTCACATTGAGCGCTGCAGGCTTACCTCACTGATCCTCCTGCTCACCCACACAACCCATCGTTGACGGATGAACTAGAGATTAACCATGAGTATCCATTAATCGCATTGCATCTGAGCGAATATAGGCCCACCTCCACCTCTGTCTCGATATCTTCTCCATATGTTTCTTGCAAATAATCCACAATGTCGTCGGCCATGTTCACATAGGTCGAAACGCTAGGAGAAAGTACATGCTGATATCGCTTCCCTGACTCTGCCATTGTGTTAGAAGTTTATTGAACTGTGGTGTCCGACACAGCCTCTCCAGGCACCGTGATTATATACACGAGTCAGCGACCCGTACACTTGCTCTGCTGCAGAACATCCCCCCCCCCCCCCCCTCGTCTCTCTTTACCAATTGCAAAAGGCGCTAGACAGCAAAGAAGAGCAATTAAGCAAACATTCTCGCATTGGCCTCGTGAGCGATACGCCGGGGCGCCGGGCAACCCCCTCTTATCAGCCACTAATCCGGGCCCCGGCGATTTCCTACGGCTCAGCTACCACCAATTTGCCAGTCAGAAGTATTCGAATGTTACTGACCCCCTGGCCCTGACAGCATGACATAATGAACCGCTCCTTTGTGTTCTTTTGTTTGTTCTTCTTTCCAAAGTGCCTGCCATTCCATCTCTCTTGCTTGATTGTCAAGTGTGACATGACATAACGTTATTGTTCTGCAACTGGAGTAAATCCTACCCAGAATCGCCTTCACTACAATGGCCATCATAAGAGGAACTCCACAAAAGCTCAAGTATGTTTGTTCTTTCGGTCTGACGCGCGATGAGACAAGATTGACACTCCATCCTCAGGCAGGAACTTTACGGTTTCCAGATTTTCGTGAGCAAGGAATCTCTCTTGCATTATAAGAACTTAGTTTAATGTTCAATTAGTTCATCACCTTGAGTGTTGTGATCGGAAGTGGAATCTTCGTCAACAATGGCTCCGCTTTCGGCATCTCAGGCCCTTTGGGCTTACTGGTTGCGACTCTGATCATGAGTGTCGTCGTTCTCTCAGTCAACGCGTGTGTCGCCGAATTCTCGCAACGGTTTCCGATTCAGAATGCTATTGTTGAATACGTGCGAACCTTTGTCGACGATGATTTGGGCTGGGTGATCGGTCTGGCTTATTGGTATGTAAGGACCGGATGGGAATTTTTACTTTGCCATGTTGACCAGAGTCGAGCAGGTATGCTTATGCAGCCTCGTTTGCCACTCAAAATAGTATGGCTGGGGCGCTGCTGGAGTATTGGGGCTTGCCAACTATATGGCGAGCGCTGATATCCTACGCGTTGGCGCCTTTGGTCCTTCTTTTGTTAAATTTGACTGGCGTCTTTGTGAGCATTTTGCCCGCCCTGGATTACTTGTACTCTAATCGATAAACAGTGGTACGGCATAGTCGAAACAATCGGCGGTCTTTTGAAACTTATCATGATAGTCTCAATCTCAATCTATCTTTACGTGGTGGCAGGGCATGGTCAGTAATATCCTTCCACTGCGAACTTTACTCATTTCGTTCGCAGAAGGCGAAGTTTCCGATGGTGCGTGATAGTTTTGACTCTGAGGCGACGCCTGTTACTAACGCACTACAGCCTACTCTCTAGGGTTTTATGCGGACATGGGGTTTAATAACCCCGGACATGCTGCTTGGTATGTCTTCGAGTACGTTCCCCTGATGCCTGTTATGATCTTACCCCGAGATTAGCTTTGCCATCCCGATTACTGCATACGCATTTCAGGGCATCGAGCTGTACGCAATGGCAGCATTCGAGGCTCGCGACGCACACGCCATCCGCTGGCCATCAAGGTGGATTACATATGTTGTGGTGGTTGTTTATATTATGTGTACTGTGGGCGAGATTCTTACTGTGAAATGGAATAATCCTGAACTTCCACGCCTTCATGATGGGACGTCGGAGAGCAGAAATAGTACCAGCCGCACCAACAGCATGATTATACTTGCAGCCCTTGGACGCGAGCACAAGAGTGTTGCTGGCTTTTTGAACGGCTGCCTACTCTTCAGTGCGTTCTCTGCCGCCAACACTTCCCTCTATGTGGCCTCGCGCACCTTGTATGGGATGGCGAGTTCTATTCCTGGCAACCTCTGGATTGCGAGGAAGCTCAGAACTCTCAGTCCTGGCACTCAAGTCCCTATTGTTGCGTTGCTTGTCACGGCTTTCGCGTTTTGCTGGGTGCCTTTCTTGAATATCAACGATGGATTTGTGAGAAAACAGGTAGATTATTTGTCTTATCTCAAACCCATGCTACGCTCGTGTGCTGACAAAAGAACCTAGGTAGTGCAAGTCGTGAGCACCTCATCAAGCAACGCGATCATGATAGTATGGGCAGCGATCTGCCTGGCCTTTCTTCGGTACTATCACTGGTACGTGTGTCCCATTCTCATAATTAATTGTTTACGCTGCTTACAATGAGACAGGATAAAGACGCATGACCGCGAACTTGAGCAAGCAGGTCGTCCTGAATTTCGGCGAGATGCGAAAGAACAACTCTCGGGCGGTTTGCTGCATTCCTTGCAGCCCGTGCAGGCCTGGATCGGGTTGATCGGCTGTCTCGTGATCTTTGCGTTTTCCAGCGCAACATGGTGGGGTTCATCGGCGACCGTGACTGAGGTAGCCATGGCATATGGAGCAGTGAGTGCCCCTATATCTTTGAGTACGGAATAGTTTCCAAGATGACGAAACGCAGCATCTCGTTCTTTTCGTTTCCCTCGTCATTCTCAAAGTCTGCCGTGGACGCAAGAGGTGGTTCAGGAAAACGCCTGTGGCCGACCAGCTGCTGATGGACCTAAACAACTTACGCGTACGCAAGCTCAATAAAAGGGAGCAGACCACCTGGGAGCGATTCAAAGGGGTATTGCGGCGTTTGCTGTCCCTGGGTGCCTCCTCCGCTCAGAGGGTGCCAGAGCTCCCGGAACTTCCCGACCAGCCTGTCTCACAGTATAACCTCATTTCTCCTCCCAATGGGGTCGTCAATCTGCAGGCTTCAGCTCCAGTATCTCATCCACGTGAATCGTCTGATACGTGAGGCTCTTGCTCAGGTATTATTTCTGAATGGTTTGATATTAGGCTCAGAGACCAGTGGCTTAGTACGAGCTCTGGCGATAGACCCTTCTTCGCACGACAGGTCAATGTCAAGCTGGATTAGGAACCAAGAATTGTGGTGTATTTTTGGGCCATTTTGTACTACCAGCGCATACATGGTTTCTACACATGTTGTTGAGTTGAGCTGATGGAATATACAAGTCTCCTAAATGACTTTGAATTACTCAATTAAATCATTAATGAAAGCATGGGATTGGAAGATAAGGGTGTGTTAATGGGGGATATCGTCACAGCGACGAGGCTAGAGGGGTAGCATTGCAGCAAACATTCACATAGGCATGCAAATACCGTAGTTCCAGCCCATCTCCCTGCGTGATTAGACTTTCCAAGCGTGCTTTGATCTTGACTGCCGGTCTACAGGAAACACTAGGCTGGGGATGGCTAGCTCTGCGAATAAACGCCGCCAGAAGTCAAGCGATGTAACCTCCTTTCTCCGAATGAATCAAGATTTAGATGGATGCTGCACGTAGTTAAGCGACAAGGAAGGGAGGAGGGGTTCAAGGTTCCGGGCAATCACCAGGCATCATGCATGGTAACCACGCTCGCTCCTTCCATGGCTTGTCTCTCCCTCCACGTTGTTCTCGGGACCAGCCCAGCACCCGCCAGGAGGAACTGATATTCTTTATGTTTCCCTTTCGATCTTCGCGGTTTCGGAGACGACGAGTGATGTGATCGGTCTCTTATCTTGGTGGTCTACTCCGTACTCAGTACTGTTACTATCTACCCCGCACTATGTGACCTGTGCTAGCGACGCGAATGGCAAAAGCCCAAGGCTTATCTAGACAAATGCTACATTAGTCTCGATAGATTCTACTCCACTACGCCACGTCAGCTATTGCTAACAAAAAGGACAGCCAAACAGAATCTAAATAATTAAGTTAGTTCGATCACGGACTAGCAAGAAGGTACGTACCTGAATGCAAACCACGTGAGATCAGACGTTGCGCATTGCCGTACTGGAAGTTGACTGCCGATTCTCGAGATGCTTCCTGACTTCCTGAATGCTCCCTCTCTCCCGTTGAGCGTCGTCGGCTCGACATACTCCGATGGGCGGAATTCCCTATCAATCTCGGGGCTGCACCACCTGCAGACAGCGGAAGATCAAAGTCCGTTTGTGCAATACCCTTACCCTAGGAAACCATTGTGATATTAACTCAATCCCCTCTCGGATTAGTGCGACCTTGCGAAGCCTGAGTGTGCACGCTGCGTCAGGAGGGGCACGCGATGTCTAGGCTACGAGACGAGTCGGCATTTCCTCCACCATACCCTCGTCACTCGAGTCGATGCCTCCGGCACAAGCAGAAGGCCTGTAGCCCAGATGCTCGGGCAATTGAACCCGCTTGCACTCCCGGCGCCTCTGAATCTGGAAACTGTTGTCCGAACTCAGCTCTTTTCGACATTTATGAATACATTCTTCGCTTCCAACTCTAGTCACAATGTTCTCAGCGCAAAGGATGATAGCTGGTACTTCCTCATGGCGCGGTTTCCGTCTCTAGCCGGCGAGTCGGCGCTTCTAGACCGGTCCATAATGGCCCTCGTGTGCGCATTCTTGGGGAGGGAAGCCAACGACCTCCCGTTGATGAACTACGGCGGGGAATTATATAGCGATGCGCTGAGGGTGATGGCGTGGATACTCCGCCAGAGGCTCCCACCGACGCCTCACGTACTCTACACGACCATCGTCTTCCACACCTACGAGGTAATGTGACTGATCCGAAGAAGACACAAATGCACTTGGGCAGGGGAGATTGACACACAGACCCCACCGGCAGACAATGCAAACGGGTGAAGCTTCTCTGCAAAATTGCCTGACTCATGTACGGGGCGCTACGGCAATCCTCAATCATCCCTCCTTTAGGGACCGTCCCGTTCAAGATCTGACTGGGACAATGATTACTCGACAGAAGTTAGCCGCAGTAAGTCCAAAGGGGCGGAATCCGCCGCTATCTTCGATTTCATCTGGGCTAACAGCAGGTGCGGGCTTTCTGCATCACGACCTGCCCGTCCAAGGCCACCGACGGGGATTGGGAGTGTCTAACACGAGACAGAGCCACGAGGCCACTCGACGCGATTCTCGCTTTGCTTGCTGAAAGCGTGCAGCTGCAACAAAGGCTGGACGTAATCTCCTGCCAGCCTCGTTCCGAATGTAAGGAAGCAGCCACCCAGATGTTACTCCAACACTGTCTCGACCTGGCAGAAAGGCTGCGCACGTGTTTGCCTAATGGGTTGAGCGAGAGCCGCTCCTCAGAGACTCGACTTTTTGTGCCCTGGGACCCCAGCGTGCTGCGACCTGCTCCACAGCCACTGCCTTTCCCGGAAGATGACCTCGCTCACCCACCACTGTACGAATTCGCCAATCTAGCTACGGCCAAATCTGTTCTGCTCTTCTGGATCGTGGCATTGACGATCCGCAGACTCCTATCCCACACCAAGACGCTGTGCCAGGAAGGTACCCAATCGACGCTCGGTGCCGTCTCATCGACACTACTATGCATATCAGCCCGCGAACTCCGCCGCACGGTGGCGCATCTCCTGCAGCCGAGGAACCTGATGTCCTCCGCGCATTGCATTCTTTTCGCAGTGTCCGTGGTGTCGAAGTGCTACCTGGACGGTCGCGACGAGGTGGGCTTTGCGTGGTGCCAAGATATCTACCGGCTCCTTCAGTCGCGAGGGTGGGGAATGGCCGGGCGTCTTGGTGACGCGGACCGGAGACTGTGGGCATGCATTCAGGTGCCCACGGCGGAGGATATGGAGTTCAGTTCCCCTCCCCTCACGGTGGATGTATCGCATCGTATATATAATTCCTGGGATCTGAATTGAGGATGATGATATGAGAATGAGGAAAACTAACTCGACTACCCTTCATGCTATCCTTTAGTCTGGTACCATAGCGCTTACCTATGGTTTGAATTATGGTTATACACGAGCCACATAGCATGCAAGAGGGGCGATGGGAGGGACTGCCCTGCTACGTCAAGTGTACGGTGGGCAGTGGAAAGTTACCAGTGTCATCAAATACTGCGCATGCACTGTGATCTCATAACCTTAACTTTTTTTACGAGTCTACACCTGAATCATCCAAAAGCGAGCATGATCTAAAGAATACAATCCCCTCATCACGTAGCCCACATCACACATCTCAATCTCTATTTCCATAACCTCAATCCCAGGAGATCCTAGCATACCACACCGTCAGTATCACAAGTCACCAAATCTTCAGAAGTAGGTTGCAGAAGGAAAGAAGGAGAGTAAGGGGAGTAACTTACCACAACATAATCCCCGCCCCGGCCGCGACCGCCAAAAACTGGGTGATCATGTGCTTCACCTCCGTGCGCTTGTCCCTGCCGCTCGTCTCCAGCAGCTCGGGGATGACTGACACCGTGCCCACGTACAGGAACGTCCCCGCCGTGAAAGGGAGAAGCATATCGCCCCAGGTGAGACTCGTGCCGAGGAGACCCGCCGTTGGCGCGGAAGAGGTGGCAGCAGCAGCAGAATTCCCACCGAACTCCTGCACCGCGATCCCGATGAAGGTGCCCAGGAACGCCCCGATGGCCGTGACGAACTGCGCGCCCATGGCCTTGCGCTTCGAGAAGCCGGACTGGATCAGGAGGGCGAAGTCGCCGACCTCGTGGGGGATCTCGTGGAAGAAGACGGCGACGGTCGTGGTGGCGCCGATGGTCGGGGAGGCGTAGAACGAGGAGGACATGGCTAGGCCGTCGGTGATGTTGTGGGTGAAGTCGGCGATCAGGTTGAGGTAGCCGCCGAGTTTGATGCTGGTGCTGGTGATGGGTTCGGGCGTAGCAACAAGGGAAGTGGAGGATGATGGGGGAGACGCGGCGGCGGGTTTGCGGTTTTTGACGTTGTTGCTGGTGGTGGTGTTGGTGGTGGCGGAGCTGCTCGTGGTTGTGGCGGAGGGTGCGATCTGGCTGTGTTCGTGCGAGTGCGAGTGCGAGTGGCCCCCCTGGCCGCCGGTTGCGATGCGGAGAGCCTTGTCCATGGCGACGAAGGTGAAGAAGCCCACCATGATGCCGAGCCCCAGGAGGAGGTTGCGGTTCGGCTCGACCATCACGAAGCGGACGTGGTCGGGAGCGTCTTCACCCAGGAAGATCTCGGGGAGGAGGTGGAAGATTGTGTCGCCCAGGAGTCCGCCGACGGCGAAGGCGACCATCACGGAGAGGGAGGAGGGGTCGATGTTCGGGGGGCACAGGGCGAGAAGGAAGTCTGCGGGAGGTATTGGTATGTCAGCCGGGGTGATCGAGATAAGGAGATGGGGCCGGCGTACTGGGAGGTCCAGAGATGTAGATGGTGGCCAGGATCGCATTGACCGCTGGGCTGCCGGGGAACAGGACCGCGAAGATCTTGGACATCAGGCTGGTGGTCTGGGGGCTCGTGGCGCGCTTATGCTCGTTGAGGGACTCGACCAAGGGGCATTTCTGAGAATCGTGTCAGGTCTAAATGAATCACGAGTGTATGGCTAAGTTGGAAAGCCAGCAAGAGCCACGAAAGATAGACAAACTCACCTGCAACTCATCCTCGATCTCGCCTGCGGACAGCTCTCCGACGGAGATAGCATCCTGAGCGACAGCCAAAGCAGAAAACAAGACTACCCCAGCGGCAAGAGCCAAGCCAATGCGACGCATTGGCAGAGAAGCAGTGGAAACCATGACCGTGAGGGAATCCAGCGGGGCAATTAACAGAAGAAGCAGGGTTATGGACAGGTCATGTAGAGCTGAGCTGACTGGGGGAGGGGAGGGGGGAAATTTAAATAGTAGGTAAGAAGACCCTTAGTCCACCTTAGCGGAGGAAGCGGCGGCGCGAGCGCGTGTTGGTCTCATCGGAACCCCCGATCTCCGGATCTTTGCTCTCCTTATCAATCGGGAGGCAAACATGCCAAGATACGCAATGCAAACAACCTTCACAAGTTTTCGGGAGGCCCGATAACTTTTTTTTTTTTGAGGCAGCCAGCCAGCCAACACTCACTCCAACCAACCAATCCAAACCCCCATCAAAATCAACACACCATGACCAACGTGCGCCAGAAGAGAAAGAACCGCTCCGGCTTGCCCAAGGCCAAGGCCAAGCGTACCGGTCTCCTGAAGAATGGCCGGAAGAAGATCAATGTTCTGGGAAATGCCATTATCGCTGAGAACTGGTACGAACCAACCACTTATCCCCGCGACGGGGGATTTCTCCCTCGATGCAGAAGCATTCTACAGCCCCCCACTTGCGCAGCAACACACACAGCTAACACGCGATTTCTCTTCTTGAATCAACAGGAACCGCGATTTGACCCTCACGCAAAACTACCGCAACCTGGGGCTAGTGCACCGCCTGAATGCGCCGACGGGAGGATCCGAGAAGCGGCCCACGAAGGAGGGGGGCGTCGCGCGTGAACGGGAGGATTCGCTGCACATCAAGAGCAGCGCGACGGCGGTGGCGCAGAAGAACGCTGCCAGCGAGATCCGCGTCGAGCGCGACCCGGAGACCGGCAAGATCCTGCGCGTCATCCGGCCCGAGGACGACGACGAGATCGAGGTGGCGGGCCGCAAGCACAAGCGCAGCAACCCGCTGAACGACCCGCTGAACGATCTGTCGGACGACGAGGAGGCGGAGGGTGATGGGTCGACGAGTGCGGCGCAACAGAAGCCGAAGCAGAAGGCCGACAGCGAGATCGTCCGGCAGCTCGAGCTCCAGGCCGACCTGGAGAGCCGCAAGGTCGCCGCCAAGAAGCCCCGCCACCAGAGCAAGAGAGAGGAGGAGTGGATTCTGCGGCTGGTGGAGAAGCACGGCGACAACTACGCCGCCATGGCGCGGGACCGGAGACTGAACCCGATGCAGCAGACCGCGGGCGATCTGAAGCGGAGAATCACCAAGTGGGAGAAGAGCCGGTCATGATTGCGGGTGTCCTGATATAAAACAAATCTCTTTGCATTTTGGCGAGTATGGCGTTGAGTTTCCTCTTCTTTCTTCTTCGGGGTTTCTTTGTTGGGCTAAAAGTGTCTGTGTCTGTCTTGGGTCATATGAACAATGTCCGGCCCTACTTACTTCGCGGGATACCAGTTTGGTTGGGATGAAAATGATCGATTCTGGCCGGAGCCACGTCTATTGTACAGTACATAGACGATCAGAGCAGTGGTCTGCCTACAGTATCAATGAACAAAGGTGCTACTAGAGTCATAGATTATCTTCTTTCGTAGACATCAATGAACTAAACCAGCGACCCAGTTTTTCGGCAACAGCACTATGCCAGGGAGAAAGTACACAGTCGTTACCTGGTGATTACTCCATAAAGTGAAGGTGACTCCAAGAATGGGATATGTTATTAAATGTCACCTGAGACAAGTGATGCCCGCCTGGTGACGAACTATCCCCTGCATGGGGTTTTACTCTGGATCCTCGTTGTCGCGTATCTTTCTGAAACAAAGTCCAAAATGACACTAGGCAGAGGCTATTTCTGTCTAGAAAAGTATTACAATGAAGCAGAATTCTCACCTAATAACTACAGTTCTTTACCTAGCCAGATACACAAGTCTTGTAACGTCACGTGGCCAATCTGCCAAAGGGTCAGTCCTAGATATAGGTATGTCTCGGGAAATATCCTAAGCGCTTTCATGTAGATTACCACTGCACCACTTACAATACAATTAGGTTACCCATAAGAACAACCGGCACAGCATATTCTCATCAAAGGTTTTACATACATACTCAAACAATAACTCATGTACCATGAACAAAAGTTCATCCCTTCTTCTCCATTCCCGCCGAGATCCCCTCCGGCTCCACATCCTCCACAACCTTCCCAGTTTCAACCACCATACCCTGCGATGCGGCACCACCCGCAGGCCCCGTGAAATGCTTCCGCCCGGTGCTCACCCACGTTCCCAGGGCGATCAGCGCGATGACTCCTATAGCCGCGCTGGTGTAGTTCATCGAATCGTCGGTGACCGGGTAGGTGGTGGGGAAGTTGAAGGTGATCGAGGCAAACAGCAGGAAGAGCAGGCCGAGGACGTTGAGAGCGATGGAGAGAGAGGAGGGCAGGGCAAAGGGGCCGGTCATTGTCTTCTGGTGGGAGGTTATGTAGCCTAGGAGGCGGCTGGCGAGGGCGGTGGCGTAGGAAAGGTCTGTGTTTGGGTCAGAGGGTTAGTTTGACTGTGATAATGTTGAAAGCGGGTGAGGAGGGCAGAAGAAAGAGACAAGCAACGTACAGAAACCTTCAGTGGAAATAGCAATCACCGTCTCAAAGCCAGTACTCGTCCCGAAATCAATCGCGTCCAGCGCCAGCTGCACGACGAGCGTCAACAATACAGCGTTCACCGGGACTTGTCTCTTCTTGTCCACCTTAGCCAGCCAGGTGCTGCAAGGGAGGCCGTGGTCGCGGGCGAAGGCGTAGACGCAGCGCGAGCCCTCAGCCAGGATGTTGTTGCCCGCCGCGATGACGATCACGGCGATCATGCTGGCCAGCACACAGGCGGCAGCCTTGCTGCCGGTTGAATCATAGAAGATCTGGATGACCGGGACGCCCGTGGCCGAGTTGGCAGTCGCGGTGATGTCGCCGATGCAAAAGCAGAGCACCAGCAGGAACGCAAACCCGGTGACGGCGCCCAGCACCACACTCATGATAATCGCCTGCGGCGCCTGCTTGGAGGCCGATTTCATCTCTTCCGTCATGTGGGAGGGCGCGTCATAGCAGCACATCCCGAAGCAGGCCTGCAGGATGCCAACGATTGCGGCCATCGCTTTGTCCCACCCCGTGGTGTTTTGAAAGTTTACGAAGACGAACGAGGCGGGTTGTTTGTGGTCGTTGGTCGCGAGGAGGACGA